TATGATTGACATTCAATGAGATTATTAGTAAGTCCTTGCATTGCGGCGAGCTTGACAATACTGAATTGCAAATCGTGGATATGATGAATCATGTCATTGAGTATCGAGACGATTTTGTCAGCCCCGGCGCAATTTCCGCTAATATTGGGAAGTCCTGAAGCTTGTATAATAGGCATTTGAATTTGTAAGTTAATCAGTTTAGTGTCCTTGTAAAATATCAACGCTTGTGGTTTTCGTGCGATCATCATGGCTTGTGGATAAAATTGAAGGGGATCATTAACAGGCATCTAATCGTGGTTGGTTAGGTTGGACTACCGTCAAGAAGGTCAGCAATAAAATGGTGTGAGGGACCATTTTAAATTCCAAATGTTTTCCGGTGTCAAGGTTAAGAGACCCAGAGGAATACCTAATGAGAGGGTCAGCCACCAACATTAATATGATAAAAATAAATGAAAAACACACAAAACAGAACGAAAATGAACCAAGTGTTACGAAACCGAAAATATTAGTGAATAAAAGCGAATTATAATAAGCAAGCAGCAAGGATAGATAGGTTGAAAGTGTGTGGGATACATGTGAGAAAGTGCGCACTAAAAAAAATGATGCTCTAGCCAGTATCGAGGCACCATATATATCATATCGCTGAGCCAGGTCTTTCTTTGGTTCAAGAATACAAGTTATGCCTGGATCGAACAGAAACTTGAGTATGGCTTGTAGAGTTGTCTCAGAGCGCTTCGGTAAGGAAAATGTGTCGATTGCATGAATGACACCTTCCTCTGGAGTATCAGACAGTGTGGAATCAGTATGATCTGACAGTTGTATTGAGGTTTGTATTAGGCTTGATTTACCCTTTGAAAATGAAATAGCATCCACGCTAGGAGTTTGGTTATCATTGAGGTGGCCGCTTGTTTAGAATTGGGGGGTTCTGGAGGGATATGTTCCGCTGTGGCAGATGTGTCATCCACCGAGCTGTCATCAATTGATGCTAGGTTTGGGATTCCTGTGTCTTCTTCAATAGTAGGCGGTATTTGTGAGATAACATTGCCGTCAGTAAGTCGGAGAGGTGTGCCCGTTGGGCCTTCATGAAGCGCGGGGTCACCTGTATTGTCATTAATAATATGGGGTGTTGTAGGTGTATGCGTGTAAATCTTATGAATAGAATCGTAAAACGCGGGCTCATTTTCGTCCCTTTCGGGCTCATTTACGTCCCAAATGGGCTCATTTTCGTCCCGACCGGGCTCATTTTCGTCCCGACCGGGCTCATATTCGTCCCAAGTGGGCTCATTTGCGTCCCGTACAGGCTTATTATCGTCCCCAGTGGGCTCATTTGTATCCTGTACGGGCTCATTATCGTCCCAAGTGGGCTCATTTGTGTCCCGGTTTTCTATAGTAATTGTGTGGGAGTATACTTGAAGGCAAGTAGGATAGTGAAGACTAGATGACTGAAATGTGTCAGTTGAACCTTTATTAATGTGAGAAGGGGTATAACCTTTATTAATTTGAGAATGTTGAGAACCCTCTTTATTAATGTGAGAATGTTGAGAAACATCTTTATTAATGTGAGAATGTTGAGAACCAAGAGATCGACGAACTTTTTTACATTCMGATACTTTAATTAATCATATAAATTATATAGTTTGAATAATTTGTAAATAGCAATTTTATCATTTATACTAGAATTTGTAACAATTACTTRTTAGTTCARCTCCCTGAACTGCAAGAGAGTACTAATAAACTATTACTATTACTATTACTATGTGAGAATGTTGAGAAACATCTTTATTAATGTGAGAATGATTAACATGTATTAAATCAGCCTGCCAATGAACAAACACTAACCCGGAGATTGTAGGATTATTTTTTTGCGAAAAAATGGCACAATGGTTGAAATCCAAAGCACAACAAAAACTCAGTACATTGTGAAAATTATCCGAAGTTTATTGGCTAAAATAAGCAATGCAAGAAACGACAATGTAGACACCGGACTAAAGACCATTTATTCGCATGCAGTGGAAGGAAAAACCGAGTGAAAAAGTAAAATTAACGCCAGAAGAATAGACCTTTACACTTTTCTTCATTTGAATGCAGGGTTTTTTTYGTCTCGATTAGGTCCCTGCAAATACCGATGGATCAGATCTGTAGTTTCTTAAGGGAAGCCAAGATGAGCAAGAAGCTTCATGATAGACTTCACGCACGTTTTCCCTGACCCTTTCTAACTGTCGACACGCACTCAAAGCCGAAACCCTTTTTAAACCTTCTTTCAATTTGTACAATTTACAACAAACAATAGAATTTTAAAGACAATTTGCTCGTCGTACATCGTAAAAGCAGTTTTATCGATTATGACATGGGAAACACAAGCTTCGATCTGGTGTCGCATAATATCTAGTAAATAATCATGACGTAATGCCTACTGGGCATATGGTCGAGTGGTAACGTTTCTCCYGTCGACGTGAGAGGTCCGGACCTCGAGCCGGGCACCGAGGACATGATTTTCTTTCGCTTCGAAAAAAAAGAGAAAGATACAGGAAAATAGTTAAGATGAATTTCAAGCAGATATGAGTAAATAAATAAATTAATATTAATGAAGTAAAAAATAGCAAAGCAACAAAGCAGTTTACAGGAAAAGTGAGTGACTTCAATTTTGTATTTTTTGACACTAGCTTTATGTTTGGAAAACGATGGTAATTCAAACGTTTTGGTCAAGACGATATCCTTCCTCAGTAAATTTTACATTCTTTGTAAAATTTCGTGAATTTTAAGAGCTTTATCTTTTTGAATTTTTAACTAAGTTAAAACTACGGAGAATGAAGTTTGTTTGTAATTAATGCTAAGTAAGATGGGAGGACAGTAGATTATAGACCAGTCATTCTTGTTATTGTAGAACAGTCTAACAACAGCATGGATTCTATTTGATTAAGTTCCASATTTTCGTTTGCGCCACAAYACATAGTCGTCAATGTTATTGTGGGAAAAGSCCATTACACTTCGTCTTCGAGTTCTTCCTTGATATTTTGATTGAGGTTGCTGCTTGTGGCTAGCTCTCTTTTTTTAACACTGTTCGAGGAKTTAGGATCATTCTTCAGAAATGTACTGTTTATAGATATAGWRTTTTTGCCCGAMAAAGTGTTCAATACGAGCGATTTCAACATCTTCCGTAGATGGGGCATTGTTGATAGCAAGATCGTTGGGCTGATTGCTATATTTGAAAATRCTAGTGCTACGCCAACCYTTCCTRTGATGTACTTMGTTGTATAAGTAATGCCTGGYGTAKTCTTTACAACAAGATTAAAAATCACAAATAGGAAGTATGGGRAAATAAATGCGAAGATAAGCGAAGCAAACGTGATGGCTCCATAGCTMCTTCCCCTTTCAACTTTTGATTTMCGTGCWGGTTTGCTRAGGTTACCCTCTCTCTTCAAATAAAGTATAATTCGAATATTTGTGACTGACAAAGTGATTGCGGGAATGAMATAARACACTRCAGTAAATGAAATAAACATGRCTTKGTAAACTGGAACTGTATTGTCATACACGCAGTCTAAAGTAAATAGTTCTGGACTGACGTCAAAGCTGTCAAGTCGAAACGTTGCCGTTGGCATACAAGCACCAATAATACCAAGACACCAGGCTGCTCCGACGAGTATCTTGATGTTACGCAGTGAAGGCAGTCGAAAAGGATGGAAGATAGCACAGTATCGTTCCATTCCAATTATGAATAAATTATTGGCAGTTACTAATGGGGGAAATATGGTGGTGAACCTGACTGCTTTGCATTTCAAGTTCGTGTCTATGATGTCCACGAAATTTATACAAATTGCAATTGGTATCGTTATTGAAGCGCACAGCAAATCAGACGCGGAAAGACTTTGTACAAAAGTTTTTGTGATGARAAAGCGATCRAAAGGTTTAGGTTTGCCATTCCGTTTTCTTTTTCTCTCTTGTTGGCTTGTCAAGTACAAAATTATGCTGTTTAACACGAGACCGTAGACACCACATATTCCAATCACTGACCAAATTGCGATTCGCACTCGCAAATCTACTGGGATAAAAACGTACCTTTGGGTTGCGTTTGAAGCCGAGCAGTTGATTGTCATTTTCGCCAGGAATTAAACACTGAAACACACAAGAGTGCCGCACTGAGCAGTTCTTTTGGTCTGAAATCAAAGGGCAATAGACCAGCGAGAAATGGAGTGTTTTGTCGAGTAGAAAATGATGCGTGTGTTTTATAGTAATAATAAGATTACTTAAGCACTTTTACAACAATACAGAACTTACACCTTTATTTCGCTGTTTATTGTATTAATCGACAGCACAGAACGGTGTTTTCTCTAAACTTATGACAATGCAATTACAGTTTTKAATTTTTCCATATCTRTCTTCCTCGAGCTTATCATTAAATTAATCTGTCATGGCCACAATTCTTTGTAAAATTTCGTTAATGGAAGATTTTGTCTATTCGATTATTTAACGGATTATTCTGGCTCAAGCTTGGTAAATTTACTAATTTTCAGCTGTTTTTCAGTAATGACACAATGATTTTTCACCCAAGTGTTCGATGAATGGCTATACGTTAAATATCCTTGAAATTGTCAATTAAAATTGAATGGGGGTCCTGATAGTTGTATAGCCTAACCTCTTCTAAATCGAACACTTCCATAAAACGACCACCTCTAATCCGGTATTACATTAAATTAAAATCTTTGTTGAGGAGTAAAAATCGTATGTTGCAAACATTTTATATGCAAAGTCCTCTCAATTGTTTTTTTTTAAGTTTCAAAAAAGTCGTGTTCTTCTCCGTATCTCTCACTGACACTGGAGTTCCTACCAAAATACTTTTAAGTTCTATATACTTTACAGCACTGAAGATGACTTTACAGTGAGATTCCCTGTGTACCTCCTCAAAAGAGAGGTTGTGATGAGCATCCCCGAATATTAAAACKTTTTTTGCTATTGAGCTAAAATAGCAGGCAAACCTACAAGTAGCTAATAAGTATAGACGAAATGACAGAATCGATAGAAATGAAGGCTTCCAACCAACATATTTTCAAGTTGTTATTTCTGCCGTTGTTTTGATATTTTGTGACGATTCGTTACCTTGTGGTCTTAAYACTATTCAGCACCAGTGGTGTTATGATCTCAAAAATACAAACAAACCATCTTTAGGCAGTTCATTGGACGACTTTCCAAACGATCCATGGGACTCAGACACAAGCAATACCTGTCAGTATTACAGCATAAGGGAAAATAAAGGATCTTACGGGAATAAGGGTTTACCATCGCTTATAAAGGTATGGAAAGCACAWTTTCATTCACTTAAATCACATCTTTTCATGAATTTAGTYTTTCYACAAACTTTTTAAAAGTCATTTAAACTTTTTCTGCGAGTTTGGTTGGTTTGTTGACCTGTCACAGTTATCAGGTAGATTACTTTCCAAAGTGCTAGAAAAGGTCAAAGATTTCTCACTATACAACGGTCTTAAATATAATTTAACATTTGGGGAGATTTCCTTTGCAATTTGAAGGGCTGGAAGGGTTGTTTTTCGTTGTTAATCAACGCTTGATGAACTTGTGTGTAGTTTCTAAATGCTAAAATCAAAAACAACTCTTGTCTTTGAATATTGGAAGTTATTTTCAAGAAAAACAACATTTGAATATTCTGCAAAATTTAACTGAACATAAGAGTAGTTTTTTTTATTTTGCAAACAATTAAAGTAAAAAAAAAAAACTGCGGCATTTTCTTCTTCTTCAAAAAAAAAAAAACAACAAAAAATTCAAATGCAAAACTTCGAAATAAGACATCAAAGTGCTTTTATTTTTTATTTCGCATTTTGTATGATTCTGTTATGAAGAGATTCGATTCCCTTTTATAGTGAGTCAGTTCAGTTCTTTGCATTCAGATGATGCCATAATCAGTTTAAATCATTAGAGGTGTCTAAACCAAGATAACAGAAAAAAAATCTTCTTTCTTATTTTCTTTATCAAGTTTGGTTGCACATTGGAAATGTTAGCTGCTTTTAGCTGATGTATTTTCCTCCTGTTTGCACTGCACACCGATAAAAGGATGGTGCTCCATGCTCCTTAAAATTTACTTGAGAACAACAMTATAAGAAGATATATTAAATAGGGATATCGCCAAATAAAGCGTAAATAGAAGGGTATTCATGCCAATCCATATAAATTATATTTTTCAAARTCAGAAGCTATGTCCTTTAGCATATAGCGTATATTGATTTTAGTTTGACCGATCAATGACCGATCCACCACAACTTCAGCTAGTCCCCTTGATGTCATAAGTGCTCTGSTTTTCTTACCATCGAGCATATATGTCAAAACCTTTAAGGAGAAATTGTACGTTATTCTAGCAAACTCCATGATCTTTTCTTTTGACCAATCACAAACGATTCAGGTAGCTATGATGTCATGAGAACACGCTGGTGGGAACTGGTAATAGAACTTTCAAACAAAGGAGAAAAAAACGTATTTTTCTTAAACAAATAAATATGGTTAATCAAAAAGACTAGATTCATTTTTGCGACGTTTCRACATCCTCTGATGCCATTCTCAAGCAATTGAATTCAAAATTGCTTGAGAATGGCATCAGAGGATGTCGAAACGTCGCAAAAATGAATCTAGTTGCGTTTGTCTTTTTGATTAACAAATAAATATAACCATCGCTTCATTGATCTAAAATTGATGAAAAAAAAATGTTGTAGTCTAGTAAAATGTTACCTAGTTTGGCCGAAGATCTTGAGTTTATGCGCAATCGTGTTCTTGTCAGTCACGTGACTTGTTCGATAATCATTCGAATAGAAAAATCACAAATAAAGTATCGAAGATAGCCTCCTACGCAGGCATCTCTCTCATACTCTCTCTCTCTCTCACCTTGAGGAACTCTAGGAACAAAATATACCTCAGTCTTCCCGCCTCTCATCAAAGGAAGCCCAACCGCTTGTAAATTAAAAGAAAAGGAGTTGTCTGCGGAGGAGGCTATATGGAGGATATGATAGTTATTGTTCTTATAGTACATTCAACAAAATAACACATTCTGATTGGTCGAGAGGAGTACAATTACAACGTTAATTGTACTCCTTAATTAAATTGAATTTACTATAAACAAAAAAATCGCACAACTAGTTAAACCTCTCGTACAATTTGGAATTAATAGTCAATCGTATTGTTTTGAAAGTTCTCAAATTCAAAACATTACTCATGGCTATTAATTCCAAATYGTACTCAAGGTCGTGCGATTTCCTATACAAACTAAACATACCAATGACAAACGGCAAAATTTACAAATTAAATTACCTATAGTTATAACTATTTTATGGTTCAAATTGACATTCTTTGTCTATTTATTTACTTTCATTTTTATTTTTCCTTTATATTCAGATGGTGTTCCTGAGCCTTTTCTCGTTGGTAGTCATGGCGACCATCGTAAATGGTATGCAATAAAAATGATTTGAAAGTGTATACATGTTCTCGATATGAACAATTAGGATAATGGTGTTGAAAACTGAAAACAGAAAATTGCAGGCCACAGTCTTGAGCCCTGCAAAGAATCTCGGGATAATTAGACGGATAACTTTGAAATAATATAATAGTCTTTGTATTGTACATTTCTTAAATAATGTAATATAACACAGTAAATTTAATTTTATAATCTTTATGAATTTAATATAAATTGTTGTTAATAAATTCACTTTTTTCTCGTAGGTCAAACACCAATAAGTAAGTATCTTTCTTCTTTTAAACTTAAATGTTCAAAACAATTTATATAATTTGTACTTTATCCTGTTTAACATAAGTTTTAATACTACTTAATTAAAAATAATGAATATAATAGCTATCTTTAAAATATTGTAAAAGAATGAGCTAACATTGACAGACTGTACAGACTAGTTCGTTTAAAAGCATTCTTGCAACCTTAATCCTAACGCGGACATCATCAAAATAATGAATATAATAGCTATCTTTAAATTATTGTAAAAGAATGAGCTAACATTGACAGATTGTACAGACTAGTTCGTTTAAAAGCATTCTTGCAAACTTAATCCTAACGCGGACATCATCTTGGATTCTATTGTTTTCAGTATAAATTCAACAAAAACTATGGGATTTCCGGTGAGCTCTTACCCAAAAAAAGAATTAAAGAAGGAAAAAAATAAATAGAAAAGGAAGAGGAAAGAAAGAGAGTAAGAGAGCAGGAATAAGAAAGAAAAAAACAACAACTTTACAGCTATAAATATCATAAAGTTCATCAAGCGAATATTAAAAAAACTCAAAAGTTAGAACATGATTTAATACTGCATTTAAAAATTAAAAAAAAGCAAAGAAAAGAAAAATAAGTGAACAAATAAAACAAATTTATAGGGTTCCATTTTGTAAAAGAAAATGCGCGTTTTCGCCTCCTGGACATCCTGAATTTTCTTTATAGTTCATGAAGTTCTCTCCTATATTGTCTTCCTGATCWAGACGCAKATATACTYTTGAATTAGCCAAAACTCAGTCTTTAGCATTCAGTTCTCCAGTACTTCTTTGATAAACATTTATATTTCTTTACCAGGCTGCCCAGGCGTGAACCTTGTTCGAGTGGGCTGCTTCAACTCCCTAAAGCCAAAAGCACATATGCCTACGTTACACTTCACTCAAAAGGTGAATTACAGATTCTTTGATAATCACATGCGCAGTATAATCTGCAATTGTGCAAAGAAATGTAGTGGCAAACCTTGCAGTTTTGGAATCAGAGACGCATGTAAGTATACTAGATCATCTGGACACAAAGTCATTCTGGGCAGAGTCTGTGTTACGACTTAAAAACTTGTCAGTACATATGATACATTACTCTGATGTTTATTAGAAGGCTGCTTTCATAGGCCTTTTCTGAAATAGCATGACGCTTTGCATCGTGGTCTAGATTCGGTACAAACATCTTTTGTTCATGTGGCCAACTATGGTGTTGTTTGTACTGAAACTAGACCACAATGCACCGTGATTTCGTATCTCAGAAAAGGTCTATGTCCGTATAGATGGTTCATTGATTATATATTCAATCTTAATCGTATGAGGAAGTAGCTGATCCCATTAAAGTATGCTCAATACACATATAGTGTAGAGCTAGTTATATATAATATCAAAGAGGCAACATGTTGCTGTCACTTCCGAGTTTCGTGCTACGCATGCACTCATCAGACAGTATTTAATTTAATTTTATTAATATTTATACCGTTGCATAAATGTAACAAAAGATCAGGTTAACTCAAGCGAATTGATCTCATGGYTTAGTGGTTAGGTTTAGAAAAAATATATGGTCAGGCATTGCATTGGTTCAAATCTTAATGCACGTTCTTMAAAAATTTCTTTTCTTTTAAGTTTAAGTCTTTGGAAATTTTCTAAGTTCTTCTCCAAATAATAGACTTCTGAGYCTTTTACGTCACTATTTGATTTTCAATGCATTGTGGGATCAGTTTCAAGAGAAAACAAAAGAAATCCGCCATGTTYTGTCCCAAACATATCCTACAATGCATTGCGTATACGGTACATGACGTAAAAGCTGCAGAGGTCTRTTGTGGCATGAGAGCCTTCTACGTRTACATCAGCRCMGTGTACATGCACAACCATATATGGAAGTCGAAGGACAGATCCTGCTCGTCATTCTACTTTTCKGCCTTTTTTTTCTCTACAGCSAARGAGCTGGTTTGTTATTATGTTATYATATTATTRTGCTTTACTGAAAGATCGCTATTTTTTCTCCTTATTTTCAGATGAATGCAGAACGGGTAGTCTATATGCTAAAGAAAAAAATACTGCAAATATCAATCAGTGCAGATCGTGGGGAGCCCAGCCATGTAAAAGTGGAGTTGATTGCGTTGGCAGCACAAACTCAATATTCATTTACAGAATGACTCCAAAAAGTAAGTTTATCGTGTCAAGGTTAAACTATGATGTAAAAAAGGTAGATGCTGATATTTAGTGTTAATCTTTTGTAGCAACTCCAAAACCAACCACCAAAAAACCAACAACCAAAAAGCCAACTACAAAACCATCGGCTAAACCAACCACACCAAATAAATCATCTCCTGAGAATCTACAATGTATGTATATACAATCACCATGACAATG